CTCCCTTTTATGGGAATGTTCTCAATCGGGGGGGGGGGGAATTAAAGATCACACACCGTAAAATCTTCACACAAACCCCAAACTAATCTCTGTGTGAAAGAATCCGATCTACTACGGAACTCTCTGGCACCACTAAAGAAATAAATTTTATAAAATGTTAAATTTCCATGGACCTAGGAGCCATTCTTGATCAGATGTGCCCCTGCAGGTTTACTGTGATGCCAACGAGGGAGGGTGGGAGAGCAGAAAGGGGATTCACAGGTGGTCCGGGAAGAAAGGAAAGAGCAGACACCCCCTGTGAGTTGTCACAGCCCATCTTTAGAAAGACCAAGAAATCAAAACCACTGAAGGTAGTTTTTGGAGAGGCAGGATAGAAGGAGAGATCTTATATATAAAAAAAACCCAGTCAAAATATGTTGAACTGATTTCGTCTGATGGGTTGAAAACATCAAAGCGGAAAATCCGGGGAATGCTGATTGGCCTCTTCATCCCATGCTCCCCCCCTCCCCCGCCACTTGAGCATTACAAAAATAAAAACAAAGACAAAGTATTTCCTTTCTGTACAGAACGGTCCGTGTTGGGGAGGGGGCTCCCCTCAGGCCAAGCTGAAGCCCTCGTAGTGGTCAATGGCTTGAGTCAGTCGCGTGTTCAGGATTTCTTTACTGCTGTACATGGGCAGGTCAAGAAGGTTGTAGCATGTGTGAGCCACGGGCAAGTACTCCTCCCCGCTGGCCGTTGACTGGATGACGATGCGCAAACTCGACATGCCGTAGATCGGGATGCGGTCGCTGCCTGTCAGGAACACTGAGAGAGGGAAAGTCAAGTCACTCACTCAGACTGTTTCTGCAGTGGCAAAATCCCCAGCACTGATGTTTTTAAAACTGTGCATTATGTGAATTTCTCCACAGTAGATTTTTCCTCACCAGGTGCAAACATGACGTTTTCTCCTCCTCTATCCCATGTCTTTGGAACTTGCTAAAACTGGGGGTCCCAAAAACACGGGCTAAGGAGGAGAAAACTTTGGGTTTGTGCCTGGTGAGGAAAAATCTACTGGAGAAAATTTCACATAACCCACAGTTCCAAAAACGTCAATGCAAGGAATTTTGCTACTGCAGAAACGGTCCCGCTCATGCACACAGATCCCAGCAACTCCTTTTTTAAAATCACAGCACTCTGCAACACAGTCAAGGCCACAACACTGAAGAGCTGTTCTGTCGATTTACTACTGATGAACACTGGGGTCTCCTCCGCTTGACCCTTGCAACGACCCTGCCAGGTAGGTTAGGCAGAGAAAGAGCGTGACTGCCTTTGCAACACGCTGTGGATCTGAACCTGGATCTCCCAGTTCCAGTGGTTCCAAACTTGTGGGCCAGGGTCCTGGGGGGCGGGGGGGGCACAGGGTTATTGCAAGGAGTCCACAAATCCATCCTGCTCAGGTAGGTCTCCACATTCCCCACCTGTGCCTTCCCCCTGGACTCATGGTGGCCATGCCCCGCCCCCCTCTGTGCTGGGCCAGCTGCTGGCTGGGCTTCATCTGCCACAGTGGGCCCATGCCTCCCCAACTGGGCCTCCCTACTCCAAGTCCCCATTCGGGCAGGACCGGGCTATCCTCAGCTAAAAGCCCCCAAGTGTCCACCAGCCCCATCAGGGCTGCTTGCCTATTGGTGAGGAGAACCACTCCTCATAAGAGGCTCCTATGGGGCCTACTGGCTCCCACTGCCTTCCTCCTGCCGTCTCTGGTGACAGCTGGAAATGCCCGTCCCTTGAAGGGAGGCCAGGGCTGTGGCCCTTGCAGGAACTGCTGTTTGGCCCTGGGAAGCCGCTAGCCAGACTCCATCAGGCAGCCATCAGGGGCCAGGGGCTTCAACAGAGGAGGCTGTCACCGGACTGAGTCACCTTTCCCAGTTTTATCCGCCGTATGGAACAGCAAAAGGCAGCCAAGACACAACATTTCACACACGTCACACTTAACATTCACACGTTCTATCCCCCCCCCCCCCCGGAGTCGTGTAGCCAGGAAGACCAAGGCAAGAAAACTTGGGGTGGTTGGCCAGTTAGGTAGACCCTCAGCCATGGGAGTTTCTTTCCAGAGCCTCAAACCAGAGGGGAGGGAGTTCAAATCCCACCTTTGCCATCTCTCTTTTCCCACCAGTTCCTTTACCCATGTTCCCATTGACTTCCCCTCTTTCACAGCTCCATAAGGCCTGGGTTTCCTTGATCTACATTCCTACAAGATCTCAGCTCTTGATCTACATTCCTACAAGATCTCAGCTCTCATCAGGAAGGCCCTGAAGAGCTTCAGGACCTTCTAGCTGAAGGTGGAAGAGCCCGTCATCAACCACATCATCTGCCCATAAATCCCCCACTCCTTGTATTGATTTGGCAGAAACCTTGATGGAAGACTGATGGAAACTGAACTTTCTCATATTCCCCCAGGAAAATCCATCCAGCAAGAAGAAAATGTGTACACCAAAAGAGGGCAGAACTAGTAGCCTTCTCCATGATACGCTAGTTTTCTTAAAGCAGAAAGTGTGCCCCATCAGGAATTTTGCATCAGACCCTTCAGCACTAGACTACAGCAAGCGAAAGAGAAGGGCTCCATCTGGTGGAAGAATCCAAGTAAGTTTTTAAAAATCACTTTTAGCTTTGCTTTGGTTGTCCAAAAAACCCCCCTCCCAAAACAGGACTCTGAGGCTACAGATTTTGAGGGAAATTACTTAATACGCCAGACTTAGATTACTTACAGAGAAACTTCTTCTTCTTTTCCAACGGGAATTCATGAAATGTCTCCCAGAACATTTTCACAGTCGGGTGTGTGGCAGAGAATTCTCCTTTATAAGCAGCACTCTGTAAGCAGAAGCACAGACACACACACACCCCAATGCAGATGTCAAAATCTAGCGGTCACTCCTAACTATACAATTTTAGAATGCAGCCTTTTCAGAAGGGAAACCCCCAGGGCAGGCCTATTTTGACTCTGGGTTTGGGAAAGCTCCTCAGGGATTGTCAGTCCTCAACTAGAAAGATCACCCCAGACAATTAAAAACAAATCTTCTATTGTCTGTGGATTATATTTTAAGAGGTGATGTGGGAATTCCAGATTTCTTTGACGTATGCAAACGTATTTGTTAGATTGCCCGTGCACCAGCAAGCACAAAACCGTATTACGTTAACCTGTCTGGCTGTCCCTTGCCCCAAGCCACCCCTTCTCTCCAACCCACTCCCCACCTACTTCCCTCTCCACGTGGCTCCCTCATTCCTGCATGTTAAACTGTCCTCCTTCAGCATCAGTAAAACTCTCCTAATCTTTCTGGGTGAAACGGATGTCGTGAATTCAGGAGATCAAGACCCTCTTTGATGCTGACCAGCTAAAAGTGGCCGTTAGATGCTCTTAGAAGGCTTGGGAAAGTCTTGCCTCCCGCAAGGCTTTAGAACACAGACAAATCCAGTGCCGCCAGGCAGCTGGCTCACCTCCTCCAGTTCCTTCCAGTTATAGTTGCTGTTCCCCACAATCATGGCCCGGAGCTCGGTTGGCTGGAAAAGTTCCAGGACCTTCCCGCCACACACTTTCAGGAAACCGGAGGCAAAAGCCGAGTACCACTCATGTATCGAAAGGTTGAAGACGTAATTCACATAGGCATCAACAAACTCCTCCCTGGGCGGATAGGAGAAACACCATGGGTAACTATGCGATACAGGAGTAAGAGGGGAAAGGGAACAGCAGAAAGCCCTGGCATCGACCCCAAACATATATTTTCTTAAAGGAACGGTTACGTTCCACAATCTATCCTTTCCTCAATTCCACAATTTAACTTTTCGTGTTGCACGATCGGGGTTGCTGCAATGTAGAACCTGGACATTTCCCTCCCCAACCTGCTCAGCTTGTTCCTGCAGATTCTGAACAACTCTGGGCACAGCGGTACTCCGCAGGGACAGACGGGCTGCCAGCCACCCACGGCTCCCCCTTCCCATTCAACTTAATATTTTCAGATGCTTCGATTTCTAACCACCAAGGTCCAAAGCCATGTTTGCCAAGGTAAGCCTCCTGCAAACAGCGCAGCATAAAGCACGCGGGGTAATAAGCAAGATGCTGGGTTTTCATTTCCTCCCTAGACTAAGGCAAATGTCAGGAAATGAGATGGAACAAGCAGATCATGGCGCCCAGCCTTATTACATTTCTCATGGTTGTCAAAATCTATTCCCACCGCCCCTCCACATGCGTTCCCTTGTGGATCCTACACCACAATTTCCCCGCCGTTTAATTTCTCCCCCTCCAGTCACGTGAAGGAGCATCCAAGGAAGCAGAGGCGCCCGCAGTCGGCACCCAGCCCAGAAGCAGCACACCTGTTGTCTCTCTGCACAGGAATCTTGTCTCCATCGGGCACCAGGTTCTTCTGCTCTGCCACGCCGTAGCTCTCTCTGCATATCTATTTTTCCCCACCAAAAAAAGAGGGACAAACAGTAACTGCAAGGTTCAGATGACAACAAAAACACGCAGCTGCCTTTCACCACGTGCTCATTGTCCAAGCTGGCCAGGCGGGGGAGGAGATATGAGGATCAGATGCATGATAGAGCACAGGGCTTACCTCTATTTTAAAAAAACAGCCCCAACGTCATCACAGTGCACATCCATACCTGCCCTAATGAAGATGATGTCTGCCCCTGCAGCATTGCCTTTGAGGGACTGTGCATTGTAAGGGCAGAAGATGAGACTCAATTTGTCTCAGGCCGTGCAGAGGGGGTTTAACCCTTCGATCTCCACTCACGTTTGCTACTTGAAACCAGCTATCCTGCTCTAAATACTTTTAAAGGAGAAAAGACACGTCCTTTAAAAGCATTTTTTTTTCCCTTTTGAAAAAGAGGTCGTGACTGGAGGTTGAAAGGTCCCGTCCCCCCCCCGCATGGCACCAAGGCAAACTGAGGCTGCAAAAGCCCTCAAGCTGCATTTTATGGACAAGGCAAGATGCAAGGTTTACACTGCCGTCTTTTAAACAGCAGGAGACCATGCCTCCTCTCAACTCTATCCTACCAGGGATGGAGAACGTTCGGTTCTGAAAACACACACCTGTGAAGACCTACTTTTTTCAAGTCCAAATCTCCCCCGCCTCCTTTCAAACCGCAACGGTACTTTCTTCTCTTGCAATTTAAAGGACATGACGTTAGTACAGTCCTAAGCAGTTAACACCCTTCTAAGTCCACTAGGCTTCGAGGTGCGTGTCTGTGCTTGTGTGTGTTCACGACCAAGGTGCCAACTGAATGAGGGATTTGCACGTTCACATTCCTTCGCGAATGTTCTTCCCTGGCTCTCCTCGGAGCCTAGCAAGTCAGCCAGGCTGCCAACCAACCTGGGAAGCACAGCCTGCCTATCGACACGCCACCACGTCTGGGTTCGCAAACATGTCCAAAAAAGTCACTCAGATATCGCTTGAACCTTTAAGGCTGGGTTGGATTCAAAGCCCTGTAGTGATTCTGTACCAGGCCAGAAGTTGCCGCTCAGACTAAGCCAAACCGTGGCTCCGTCTAGCTCAGTCCCAAGTGGAAACAGCCCCTCCCGTGGCGACAGAAAGCCTCGCCCACTTCTCTTAACCAGTAACATTTTAAAGGGCAGGATTTCGTGGGATCAAACGTGGGATTCTTATAGACACAAAAAACGGCACTGCACTAGATGCCTTTTTCTATATGGGCTCCATTACAGTCTCCTCCCTTTACATCAATGGTAGAACTTACATGCCTCAGAATCACGACTGGTTTTTAAAACGGATTTTATTTTTAGATCGGATACTGGAAGGTTTCGCATATAACATTCCACAACACTATTTCAAATGTTTGCAAGATTCATTAAAAAAAGTGTGTTTAACCAGTAATTTCAGAAATTGATATTCAAAATGTCTTGGCTATAACTCTCAGCCAAAACTCCTGGAGGCAAAGACTGCCTTCCTATAAATGAAATAGGTCCCCTGCCCTCTCTCTGGCTTCGAAGGCTGGTAATTTATTTAAGCCTTCAGCCAAGGAATAGAAAATCTGTGTTAGTGGGTACTTGGGGCAGCACGAAGTCTGTGAGTAGGAAATAAGACGCTCGGAAGCCACAAACTCCAGACTGGACTGGACTGGACTAGCTTGGGTCATGCACTGGACTGAACGGCAACGGCACAAGGACTGTGTCTCAGCACAAGACAAAGTGACTGACCGTGCAGTCCTGAACAAAATTACCCTGTTCTGAGCCCACTGGCTTCAATGGTCTCAGAACAGTACAACTCTGCTTAGGATTGCCCTGTGGGGAGCTGGGAAGGGTGGTCCTTGGGATCAGGGGCTATCTTGGAAACCCCACGGCCACTACTTGCCTCTCCTCACTTGATGTGCCTTTTTCACCGTTTGCTTGCCCTGCACAATTTGCACAGTTGCACAATTTCTCTTGGGAAGACGGTTTCATCGTTCATGAGAAATGGGGGAATGACAGGCAGAGCCTTAAAATGCAGTATATTACGTCTGTCCAAATGTGATCTCTTCAGAGACTGTCAAATCAGGAGGCTTAATAATCTTAAGATCCTGCTATGGGCCACAAAGGACCGGATCCAGAGCTCTGGGCATGTAAAACTCCCAAGGATATGGGTTAGCCCCTTCGCTTCAACCAAGGGCAGATCTGCTCATTCACAGCTATGCCCCTCTCCCAAAACAAGCCTTGGATATGTGTGGGCAGATGCGTCCTTACACCGGAGTTCCTCGCATCCACACCAAATAGCTGGACTGCAGCCAACTGGATAGAAACAAGATAAATGCCAAGTGAGCTTTAACTCTCTTTGGAATCCACGAGACTTTCAAGTGAAGCTAAGCTTTCTCTGGATCGTGTCCATGGGGCACAGCTGACGAACAGACCTGGGTCTGACTCTGAGCCAAAATGTGCCGCCTCCCAAAGGGCTTCAAAGGGCTTCCACAGACATACACTGAATACATATTCATTGATCTTACTGTGAAACACAGGCAGAATGTTTCTTCAACATCTTCCCCAGAGTAATCTAAAAGCTGTTGAAGGCTCCTACATAGGAGGCAAAGGGAAGACAGAAAGGGGAGAGCGGGCGAGTCAGACATCTGAGATACGGATGTTGCCTGAACATTAAATAAAAACTCTTCTTCTCCAAAAGCACTGGCTCCATACAACGGGGTCCAGGATCTTCTCTGGACCCCTAAAAGATGGGCAGAGAAAAGGGACTCGTTTCTTATGAAACGGCAGTGTCCTCCTCCTCCTCTCCAGTTTTTAAAAACATGACTGCAATTCTGCATGGCTTAGTCAAGCAAAAATGCAGAGGAAAGCAGACCCCTAAAGCCTCCTCCTACCTTCCTTCCATGGGAGACAGCTCCTTCAGATCTTCTAAACAGGGCTTCGCATTCAGGAGCTTCTTGTACAGGGCCAACGGGAAGTGAAGATCCACCACGGTGAAGTTGTATATCGCCAACCCACAGATTATGCCGATGAGATGAAACCAGTTGTGCTCTACAAAACACTTCAGTCGTAAAAAGAGGTGTTAGTGGGATGGGCGGCTACTTCTCTTTATGATTCCCCCACCTTTAAGCTGAACTATATACGTTTTCATTATTAGGAGGCATCTGAAGCTGCAGAAAAAAGCAGCGCAAAATATTCTTAAATCGCTATTTAAAATCAGTGGGCACAGAAAGAAACCAGAAAAGTGCAGAAATACTGTGCACTGAGGACTGGCTCACATATGCATGTGCTACACATGCAGTCTGGTGTAGATATGATTCCCCACTCCTCCACCTGCAGCTGCTGGATGACCTTGGGCAAGCCATAGTTCTGTCAGAGCTGTTCTCTCAAGGACAGTTCTGGAGAGAGCTCTCCCAGCCCCACCTACCTCACAGGGTGTCTGTTGTGGGGAAAGGAATGGAAAGAAGTTTGTCAGGCGCTCTGAGACTCCAATCTCTTCTTCTTCTACACATACATATCTTTACATAGGATTAATGTACGCTCAATGACCAATGGCCAAACACGTCAGCTCACACAACAGAAAATTATTACTTCAGAGGACATCCAGAAATTCTTTCAGCAGTATTAAATCTCCAGGATGGCCAGACTAGATGTTTGGGTTTTTTAAGAGTTGGGTCCAGGTTCCCCAGCCAGAATTCAAATATCCTGCAGCCACACAGCAGCGGCAGGGAATGGATTTTTTTAAAAAATACAGGAAAGCCTAAATGGGTTCAGGATGCCCCCGCAGGGGTGGAAGTACTTCTGCCTTCCACCCACTGGCCATTTTTCTGTGCTGAAACAGTGCTGGGGGGGGGGAGAGTTGTTTCTCCATTTTTGCCATTCCACTTGGAGTAGCCTGTGCGCACAGAGCAGCAAGAATAAGAGAATAAGTGCTGTTTCCACATGGGAAAAATGGGGGCAGGGGGCAGGAGCCCTTCCTCTCCCCTGTGGTAGCACTGGCCACTGTGTGAGACAGGATGCTGGACTAGATGGACCACTGGTCTGAACCAGCAGGGCTCTTCTTATGTTCCTTACAAGCCCATCTGGGCTATTCTTTTTTTTTTTTTTTTT